GATCCAGGCCAGTGCCAGCGCACAGGAGGGGCTCCAGGACAGTGCTCCAGCGCACAGGAGGGGCTCCAGGCCAGCGCACAGGAGGGGCTCCAAGCGAGGGGTGAGGAAAGCAACGTGCAGAATGGTGCAAGGAACACGAGGCCACCAGCCAACTGCATCAAAGGGTGGACAGAGTCCACATTTGCGTTTCTTTCTGTACAAGGACTTTCAGATGGGAGCACAGGAAACTAATAAATAACTAATAATAAACGAATAAACGTAGAATATCGAAAAGCAGAGGGCAGTGAACTGGTGTGACTCTGACTACCCCAGGGAAGGAGCCAGGCCTTCTGACGTGTGCAGAGGCCCTGGGGGCCTTTAACAGGAGGAAAGGAATGTCCAGCGCACGGCAGTGAGTCCAGGGAAGCCCATCTGTTTGCTAACTGGTCCTCGCACTTCCTACCTAGGCTCCCAGGAGCCCTGAATTCAGAAGCTGATGGGGACAAAGAGTAAAGGCAGCCTGGGTTGGGATTTCTCAGACAGGGGCTGTTCCTAGGACGCAGCCTTGAGCCGTCAGGAATTACATGAGTAAGGCCGGTGGGGGAGCTAGTCAGAAGGGCTGAGAAGAGCCTGACCAGAGTGGGACCAAGGAGGGCATCTTTGTCAGGTAGATGGGGAAGTGAGCATTTGCGGACATTGGGAAGGGAATTAACTGTGCTCTTCATATATGCCATTATTACCCGCAGCTAATGAAACGACCCATGGAAACCATAAAAACATTCAGCTGCATTACCCTAAAGGGCCACAAGATGGCGACATGTTCCTTAATGACTTCAGGATGGACAAGGGTCAGTGGGCCAGCTCCTCCCCTTGCTGACAACTGATTCCAGTTCTCTTTCTGTGGTTCCCTTAGTTCATTGGCTGGAATTTCTCTGCACCCATGCTTGGTTCCTTTCAGTGTGGCTCTATTGTAAACCAAAACAGAAATATGTTCATTGATTGGGCAACATTTTTTTTATTACTTTTTGCCGCAGTCCGGCTGCAGCAAAATAAGGGGGGGGGGTGACGAATAACTTGTGTACGTTGATACAGCAGGAATGGGCGCGGTTTATTGTAGGACAACAGAGCTACTTATACATTTTGCACAGCTTATCTTAATTAGCATAAACTAGATACATAAGTCAACCAATAAGGAATCTCCACACTTAATGGCTCGCTTTTGTTA